GATGATCTCGTTCGCATCGCTCAATCACGTCCTGGTTGAAGTTCGTTCGCTACGCTCACTCACCTTTGGGTTGGAGCTCGTTCGCTGCGCTCACTTGCCTTTAGGTTGGAGCTCGTTCGCTACGCTAACTCGCCTCCAGGTTGAAGTTCGTTCGCTACGCTCACTCACCTATTGGTTGCAAATTAGCTGTTGTCATAAATGTAAAAGAAATAATAGTGCTGCACCCTGTTGGTAATCCTTGTAACTTTAATGCTATTGAACATCATAGAACAGAACCAACTTGTTTAATTGAAACAGCTGTTAAGATTCATTAATTCCATTTCTCATAAGGTTAACATGGGAAACTCCCGAGCCACTGGGGCGGAGCCCTTTTAAGAATTTCGAAACGGGAAATAGTTTACGTCCGATTCGCATACCTACAGAATTTACACACCAAATTTCATAACGATCGGTGAAGTCGTTCCGGAGGAGTTTGCAGACAAACACTGTGACACGAGAATTTTATATATTAGATTACTAAGATGTTCAAGGGTTCTTAAAATAGGCCTATTTATAGGGGCTCTTATATTTGGGAGTTGGTGTTGTGCTGGCTTGAAAAGAATATTTGCCAACATTAGATTAGGTGTACCTATTTACAAATTACAAATATGTGAGGACAAATTAATTGTAGGAAACATTTAATAAGGGAATTAAATATTAAAATTACACATCATGGGGAAATTAACACTACCTAACGAATGATATGAAATGTAATACTATACAAATTTTAATTGCATGAACAACATACTTCCATAATATGTCATTTCAAGAGACAAATTCAATCGATTTTTCGTTGTTGTTGGGGAATTTTGCTATCTGGACAACATTTACTTCCGAATCCATTGCACAAGACATGTCTAAAACGCAGCGTAACTCAGATTTGACTGCTCTGAGGCCAGTCGGTGAAATACGCAGCTATTGGTGCGCGCGTATTAGATACGCAGCCTTGGAAACCACTTACACGAAACTCCATAAGACAAGTGTGCTGCATCTTAGATGCGCACACGCAGCGCATCTATTACGCGTCTAGGAAACCACATCCTTACTCCGTTTTAGACATGTCTTGTGTAATGGATTCGGAAGTAAATGTTGTACAGAAGGCAAAATTCTCCAACAACGTCAAAAAATTTTTGGAATTTGTCTCTTCTAATGACATATTATGGAAATACTTTGTTCATACAATTAAAATTTTATAGTATTATATTTCATATAATTCGTTATGTAGTGTTAATTTCCCCATATTTAATCCCCTTGTCACATGTTCCCTACAATTAATTTGTCCTCACATATTTTCTCATTGTTGTAACTGTATTAATAAATAACCCTAATATTGACAAATATTCTTTTCAAGTCAGCACAACCAACATAAGTGCCCCTATAATTATTTCAAGAACTCCTGAACATCTTAGTAATAACTCTATATTAATTACTAGCATAGTACCCAAACTTCTTACGGGGTTGGCGTATAAGTATAAAATGATTATTGCAGTTATACTTGTAAAAGGTATTGTCATTGATTCGGTAAATCCCGAATAGGTAACAGTAAAAGCAAAGTTTTTCAGGGTAAATTAAGATTTATTGTTTTAATTTAAAATTGACATGTTTGCTTTAACACTACAGTTAAAAGATGCGTGAGGGCCACGTACAGTTCCTAACATGTACTTTTCAATGCTTACGCTTCTTCAAAGCTTTTAATGCCAAAATATCCATTTCATTATCTAAATCATCGTATAACATCATAGTAGCCACTAGTAATCTCTCCCGTGAACTTATGTTACGCACCAACCGTGTGTATTGTACGCAGTCTAGGAAACCACTCACGACAGCTGTGTTTTGGGACCTGGATAAAAGACGCTGCGCATCTAAACTGCTGCGCATCTATTACGCGTCTAGGAAACCACAGCCTTACGCTGCGTTTTAGACATGTCTTGTGCAATGGATTCTGAAGTAAATGTTGTCCAGATGGCAAAATTCCCCAACAACAACGAAAAATCGATTGAATTTGTCTCTGGAATTGACATATTATGGAAGTACGTTGTTCATACAATTAAAATGTTTATATGCCTAGTATTACATTTCATATCTTTCGTTAGGTATTGTTAATTTCCCCAAAATGTGTAATTTTAATATTTAATTTCCTTATTAAAAGTTCCCTACAATTAATTTGTCCTCACATATTTGTAATTTGTAAATAAAACAAATGTTGACAAATATCCTTTTCAAGCCAGCACAACACCAACTCCCAAATATAAGAGCCCCCATAATTATTTTAAAAAAAACCCCCTGAACATTTTAGTAATAATCCTATATTAATTACTAGCAGAGTACCCGTACTACGGGTTTGGCGTATAAGTATGAAATGTATAAGTATATGTATGCAAATATAAATATTGCAGTTATACTCGTAAATAATATAGTCAAAGTCAAAGTCAAAACATTCTTTATTCATTATAGTTTCACATTACATGAACTTGAATAGAGTCATAAGCTAAATTCAAAATTGCTTACTGCTAATTAAATACATAAAAAGAGTACTAAAATTACTTTACTTGAACTTTTAACAAAACCATGACTTTAAGGATAACAGTATTTGGAATTCAAATTAAGTTAGGCCTAACTGTTTTTTACTAATACTAAAGAATTCTGTTACTGAGTAGCAGGGAGTTCTTAAAAAATATTCCTTTAAGAGCTTCTTGAATTTATTAAATTTTGTTTCTTTTCGGATGTGAGCTGGTATAGACTGGAGAAATTTTAGCCCTATGTAAGATGTCTTTTTAGTGTAAAATTCGAGATTATGCCGAGGTAGGTTAATTTTTAATCTGGTGTTATATACTAATTGTTCTGTTGAGCTGGATGATAGTTGGATCTGTTTTGCATAAATTATTGTTTCATAAATATAAAGACTATAAACTGTTAATATTTGTAATTCAATTTGTAATACTATTTCGTCAATTCGGTAATTTGAATAGGTAGGCCTAAATATAATAACAGTAAAAACAAAGTTGGAGAGGTTAAATTAAAATTTATTGTTTACATTTTAAATTGACATGTTTGCTTTAATATACTATGGTTAAAACTTCCGCGAGGGCCATGTACAGTTCCTAATCATGTACTTTTCACTGCTACTTTTTACTACTTTACTTACGCTTATTTAAAACTTTTATTACCAAAGTATACATTTAATTATCTAAATCATCGTATAACATCATAGTAGCCATTTTTCTAGTATTCGTGGCCACTAGTAATCTCTCCCGTGAACTTATGTTATGCATAGTGATGTAAAATACCTGGGTATTTAAAACTCAGGGTAAATACCCTGGGTATTTACCCGGGTAAATACCCAAAATCCATAAATACCCGGGTATTTTGGGTATTTATGATATCGATTGAAATTCATTTATATTTACCCCTATATGTTATTGTTAACATTACATGATAAATTAGGATAGTCTATAACACCTTTTACAGTAACTTGAAGCTTTGCTAATACCTTTTATTTAATGATTTAGCACTTTTTTTAATGAAATCAAGACAACACCTCATCAGAGAAATAGTGAATCGAAACCTACTTCTACTGTTATTAAATTATGATAGTTAAATTTGTATTGTGTAAATGGCTTGGAAGGCTAGACAGACCCAAGGCTTGATTGACAAAGGCAGAATGGCAGAATACTGATAGTTAGACTCCCTCTTATCCGGACTCCTCGGGACCGAGGCTAGCCCGGATAACGGTTTTTCTGGTTAAACCGACGGCTCCAAAAACTCTTTAAAACGGAAACCGTTTACTGTGATATTCGACTTAAATTTAGGAGAGCATTGAATTTAGACACGTGATCACTGGTCTCAAATCTTTCCCACAAGAACAGTTGTTTCAAAACCGCCCACTTCCTGCCAATCTAGTCAGGTTAAACCAATGGGCTGATAAAAATTGTCCGGTTAAAAGGTGTCTGGATAAGAGGGAGTCTACGTTAAACTTTTCTGTGTTACCGCTTAGTTGGAAACAATAATAATATTTGGATAAACCTAGGCGTACTAAAAAAATGCATCTCCTGTTTTTTTGTCTAACTTGATGTAATTTTGAAAGATTTATTGTGCTATAGATTCCAATTTTTTTTTTTATCACAAGTTTATGAAATTAGTTTTTTTATTTTGATACCATTGATACCAACAAAAGATCTAGAACAAAAATATTATTAAATCCTGCCATCCTACAGATTGAATTTTAATTATTTTCTTAAGCTGTTTACACTTAGGCCACTACTAGGTTAAATTTTCCTGTCTTTCTAAATAATAAATCATTACTTTACAAATTATTTTTCTTCACATTCAATAAAATAAATATATTTATCTATCATAGAAATTAAAAAATCATATGTACAAAATCACTGGTCCTGACCAGTGCAACCATGCGACCCGGGTATTTATGCTGATTAGGCTATGCTTTATGCTCAGACCTGGGTATTTATAGCGATTATACCGAGAAGTAAAATGCTAGTAGTAACCATATGAAATTTTGTTTAACACATTTTATTATCATTTTACTATCCTTACAGGGTAATAATTGCAAAAAAACATTTCAATCTTCTCTAACTTTAATACAAATTATAAATATCCAGTTTTTGGGTATTTACCCGGGCCTGGGGTAAATACCCAGGTAAATACCCAATTTATATTTACCTACCCACTGGGTATTTACCCGGCCCACATCACTAGTTATGCACCAACCATGTGTATTGTACACAGTCTAGGAAACCACTCACGACAATGGGACCTGGACAAAAGCCGCAGCGCATCTAAACTGCTGAGCATCTATTACGCGTCTAGGAAGGTGAGTAGGCCTATTCATTTTTTAAGTAATTTTGAAACTTGACACAATCCGCCCCACCCCACCACCAACCATCTAAGTTAAGGGTCTTGACAAAGGCCATAATTAAAAATAATATAAATATCTGACCACTCACCTGACAGCATACTCTACGTCGTAGCATCTACCTTGCAACTGTTGGTGCACTTTGCTAACATCCACACGCTTGTCTACCATTGGAGGAAGAGCCTTACGCACATGTTCTTGAAGCCGGTAGAACGCCAATGATGGCTCGTTAGCCACTATGTGCATATTCTCTGATATTCTCTCTGTGGCTATAATACAAGGTGGATGAAATACAAACTTGAAAAATGTAACAAATTGTTTGTTTGACCCTAAGTTTAAGCTTTGTTAGGTATTCTTTTTAGCCTAGTCTTAAGTTAATTATAGCCTAAGTTACTAAAAATTAGCCCACAAATCTTTTATCATCCTATGGGGTTATACTTTTAACTTAGACTTACTTCATTGAAAAGTTCCTTCTCATTGGGGCATTGTTGTTCAGACAGAACTTTAGGCCTAATAACTTAGGTAAGGTAAGGTTTGGATTAGGTTAGGTTTACGTCTATACTCGGTTTACAAACTTAACTTAAGTTAAGTTTAGTTAGGCTACTCTATAAAATTTTAAGCATTACTTGGGTACACTTCCATATCTGTTGGCACTAATATCGAATGAGTACTTTTTATTGATATATCGATTAATCGATATATAACCTAACCTAACTAACCAAACTATCGAATGAGTACTTTTATCGATATATCGATTGTTCGATATAGCCTATCGATAAAAAGTACTCATTCGATATTAGTGCCAACGGATATGGAAGTGTACCCCATTACTTAAGTAGAACTATATTCACAAATTGATAAAATAAAAGTCCCTACACGTGGTTGTGGGATTGTGAATCTTTTAAATATGACGGAGTCGTACCTAGTGGAGTAGGCCTAGGCTGTAGCTTATCACTCTTTTGCTAAATAAGTTAGGTAGATTAAAACAAACAAAGCTATAAACATAAACCGATTTCTATGGTAAACCCGGGTAAACAATGTAAGTTAGGTGGACAAATTAACGTACAGGTGAAACTTTGATATCCGATTCCATCTTAGGCCTATGATTGAACATAAAAACTATCAGTTCAATCAATAATCAAACTTATTCTAACCTTAAACTAAACTACTATATAGATTAGGTATTAAATTGAGCAAAGCATGGTAATATTGGTAAACAAGAGGACTGCAAGAGGCCTAGGCCTACATGAGTTTGTCTTACCTTTTTTTACTTTTGCATCTAATTCTGCATCATGACCAGAAGCCATTCTACTATCGCTCAATTATTATAGAATTCTGAGATGTTTTCGTTAAAAATAAAACACAAAATAATAAATTGTGCCCTTCCTTAAGCATAGGCTAGATGGTGCATTTAGCCTATATCCTATGTAGGCCCTATGACACTAAAAAGTTATTTAATTAAAGTAGATAGGCTAAACTCGTAATTGAAAATTTTAAGTTTTAACTGTTATTTATTACACCACAGAACTATGACGTTATTTTTATTGATCGTCACTAAAATAATAGCCCTTCCCTAAGTTCACTGTAAGGGTAGGGTTGATTTTATTTAATGATATTTTCATTTTTCATTTATTTGAGTATTTGACATTTTGATTTTGTTGTTTTTTTTAGAGTTGATCAGCTGGGCCACCCATACCACCACTAAAAGCCGCCAATAGAACGAAATGAAATTTTATCGAAATTCAAAATCAGTGTTGCCAGGGCCAGAGCCAGGCTGAATTTGATATTTTGTCCACACAACGACACAACCCTATTTCCCCCCGGAATTCGTAAATAAACAGATAACACATATTTTTCTTAATATGTTACGAGGCTGTAGATTGTCAACATTGTACTGATTCACATAAACAAGGTATTTACTCAGGGGAGGTATAGAAGAGGCTACGATGACAGCTGTGGGCTTCTTATTAACTAGCTGAGGGAACGCCATTTATATTATTATTTTACGTAGAATGATACACTGCAGGGCTCTGTACTCGGGCCCCTGCTCTTCAATATAATGATTAATGACCTTCCCATGTGCCTTGGTAATGGTGTTGTTTGTTATGCAGACGACACTACAATTGTGGAAGCTAGAAATAGTGCTGTTGAGTTGAACTTGGCTTTAAATCAATCTTTAAATGTTGCATCTACCTGGTTCCGGGCAAACTATTTCTTTTTAAATCAAGAAAAAACCCAATCTATTGTTTTCAGTCTCCGAAACATTGAGCATGAGGTAACAAGCGTAAAGCTTTTAGGTATTTACCTAGACTGTAAGCTGGATTGGAATAACCATATTTATTATGTTTGTAGCCGACTGGCTAGGGTTGTGCACTTGCTTCGTAAGTTAAGGTACTGTGTACCAAAAGAGTGGTTAAGGACTGCGTATGTGGCTTTTTTCCAGAGCATCATAACTTATGGACTGAGACTTTGGGGTGCCGCTCCTGGAGTCGAGAGAGTCCTACTTCTCCAAAAAAAAAAGGCTATACGAATAGTAGCAGGGGCCAAGCGCCTGGATCACTGTGAGCCTATCTTTAAAGCTGAATCCCTCATGACGGTTTTTAATCTGTTTATCTTCCAGACCCTCATCAAAACTAAGGAGGAGTTGGGCGCTCTCGAGCTCAGGAGTGACATCCACTCGTACAATACTAGAAGTAAACAGGATTTAAATGTACCTTTTGTTAGGCTTAAGAAATTACAAAGTAATTATGACATTGTAAGCCTAAAACTATTCAATGTGTTATCTTGTTCAGCCCGGAACCTTCCAAGCAACCATTTCAAAAGGGGCGTGGAACGTCTCCTGGCCAAGCCACTGTATAGTATTGACGATTTCTATAAACTAAAAAAAGAATATGTAAGTACTTTTTTTTGACTGATGTTTGCCGAGTGTGCTGTTTTGTTTTCTTTTTAATTCTTTGCATGGTGAGTTACAGGTCACATTATGTATGCATTTCCTTTTATTATATGATGTTGAAGGAATTTCTTTTTATTCATAGATCTTATGTATATTTTATAATGTATTTTATAATGTAGAATTTGACGTTTTCCAATGACTTGTATATTGTAAGTTTTACAGGAAATAAATTGATCTTATATCTTATGTCATTACCGTAATAAAACGATCAGTAGTCATCGGCCTCGGTGGTCTAATGGTTAGCGGGCTGATATGCTGAAGGTCCCGGGTTCAAATCCCGCTCGTGGCATTAACTTTTTGTCCAAGATTTTTTTTATTATCAGCAAGTTTGGTTGGTTTGGTTCGGTTATGACAGTTTAATTTTATTATTAAGTCATTATAAAATTTTAGTAGAGCAATTTCTGGTTTTATTTAATAAACAGAATTATTTTTTCTATTAATAAACTTTTGCTATATTATTTCATTATCAGCAAGTTTGGTTAGGTTATGATAGTTTAATTTTATAATTAAAAAGTATTAAAATTGAATTTGAGGCATTTATAATTTTATTTTATGAACAGAACTATTTTTGCGATTAGTAAACCTTCTTTGCCAAAGTACTCTCTACTACAGCGCTGTTCACGGAGGAATTTTGAACTAATGCCTCATTCGTACCTCCCCTAAGTCAGACCCCATAAACAAACACTCAGTGAGTGCTCAGCTCTCTCTCCTTTCTTTGCGAGGTTATGATGCGCAAAAGATTACTGCGCAACGTAATCTCGGGGTCTCGTATCGCACCTGGCACCTGGTTAATCATAGCAGACAAGACCTATAGATCTCGGATAGCGCTGGGTCAACAACGATATGGTAGGCATACGGTTAAGTAGGCCTATCGATCGTCGTATAGATCCATAGATCTCGTAACGCACCATTGGAATAATGCAGGAAAATATACAACGCAGTGAACGTGATATTCAGTAAGACATATTCAGCCACACAGAATTCATTAGGGGATAAGACTGGTCCAGACGACTATGTAACACACAATAGACATCGTCAATGTTCTCTCAAGTCTAAAAAGGCTCGTTGCACACACACCGGTTTTGGACGACCGATTTTTTACCGGCCGTCCAAATTCCAATAGTGAACCACAGGCGGGAACCACGGGACCTTGCACACACGCCAACCGCTGATCGGCGCCGGTAAAATGCCGATGAGCAGCCGGCCACTGCCACTGCATACCGCCGGTGCCGGCGACGTAGTGGCGTACCGTACGTACGTAACTCAACTAGGCCTATATACAAGCTTGCACACGCATCGATCGTATCGGCAGTTCTCGCTACACCATCCACCATTGCAGGCCCATTGCAGTCTTCTAACATTTTTAATTAGTTTTGGTAGTGCGTGTTTATATAACGTTGTAAATGGGTAACTTTATATATAAGGAAGTATGCTATTGACATTCTGAAATAGTTTAAAATTTTAATGCTATCAACGTTTAATACTAAAGCGCTTAATACGTCGATACAATAACCACATAGCAACAACTCTTTTATGGGTATTCAATAATCTCGTCTCGTCCTCTACACAACAACAAAGACTAATCGTTTCGCCGATAAAATATCGACCGACTTATTACCGACCGTCCAAAATCGGTGTGTGCAAATAGCCTATGTGTGCAGGCAAGAAACAACATGAACCGATAAAATATCGACCAACATATTACCGACCGTCCAAAATCGGCGTGTGTGCAATAATAAGCAAATCACGAATGTATGTATCTCTTTCAAGATCTTTCGTTCGATGTCTCCTCTCTGCTTGGCTTGGCAGCACTGATGTTTTTATGTCAGTTTGCTGTAAAAAAAAAACAACAACTAACCTAACCTTAATTCAGTAATCAGTTAATCAGTCATTCAGTCAGTACTCAGTAGTCAGTATTCATTCCATTCACACAGTAGTTCAGTCAGTCAGTTTATCCAGTTTGTCTTTGTCTAACTTCAAAATATGGTTAGCTTAGATTTAATGATGTGAGTGAGTGTAAACTTTTAAAAACATATTTTTTGCCTTAGTATATTGGAGTTGATCATTTATTTGTGGGTTATAAAATATTTGTTAACAAAGAGCTGAGAGATTATACTGTTAATCGAAGCAGCAGTCAATCCTGCAGTTAGGCCAGTAATGACAGTAAGCACCGCTTGCATACAATTAATATTTATTTCGTGGTGTAAATTTATGTAATAGGCCAAAGGTGATTGTGATGACATTTGGATGAACTAAAATTGTTTATGTGTCACCTTAATACATGGCAGTTTCTACCGTGTTATGCAATAATGGCTGCTGTTGCATTCTGACAAAGTTTCTACATCATTGGCCTAGACTAAATATCATCAAGTTTTACTCAAGTAAGCCTCAGTCTCAGTGTTCAAGTAATACAGATGCCTATGTTGAAAATTTGATTTCCGAAGAAGGGATTAAACGAGAGAACAAGTTAACTCAATATTTCCAAAATGTATCCTCAAAGAATCTGCATGGAGAAATGTCCAAGATAGGCCTAAGCTTATATCAAGAGAATAACACTTGTGGCCTTAAAAAAACTGATGATGCTGAAGAGCTTGCTAGTTGTATAGAGGAAAAGACAGATGTTACAAAGGTTCCAAATGAAAAATTGGGCTACCTCTTAGTTTATTTTACTAAAGATGGAAATGTAAATGGTGTTAAAGCTATTCAGTCCATCATTAAAAAGCACAACGCATCACATTTTCAATATTATGCTCAGTATAATCATTATTTAGCCGAAGCATTATGGTTGGACGGGAAGGTTCCCACGTCATTAAATTTATTTTCGTTTGCTTATGATAACACGGTAGTTAGACCCAAAGTGAAAGTAATGCTCCCTAATTTGTTCACATCGTTGGTTGAACAGCATAGTGAAGCAACACTGCATACATTGATTTATAACATCGAACAGTTTTCAGGGAAAAAGAGAGACGATTTACTTCTGGCCTGTCTATGGAGGGAACTGTATTTAAGCACCTGGTTTTCAGATCAGGAAGAAGCCACAAAACTATTACTTAAAAACAGTCAAATACTAAAATATGTACAGTGGATGGTACCAACCATGGGGAAAATGTTGTTAAAATCTCATAGAGTTGAAGATTGTTATAGATTGATTCAATTCACATTGACAAATAACTTCACACATATGACTGATGTATTGATACGTCTCTTGTTTGAATACTATTGTAAGTACGGTATCCTACTAGTATAAGTTACTCATTGTCTTTTATTTTTATTGTTGCTCTTATTTTTCCTTTATTTAAATCTACTAGGGTAGCCCTTATTATGTGTTCTCTTTCAGGGGGACGGCCATTTAAAACCTAACCTTGTCCTCATTCATTAGTTATAGTTGTAATTTAAATTATTAACTTACAGTGCTTAGCTAAGTTCAGGTTTTGCAAAAATGACATTGGGTAGCAAGCAGATCAATTAATCCAATCAATAAGTTAACATAAGTTTGTTAAGAAATCTACAAATTGTGATCATTTTTTAAATTTAATTAGGCCTAACTTATTTAATATCAAGGCATGTTACTTTTTACAATGTTAACATTTTAATTTTAGCACTGTAATAGTACTCAAAGAAAAACTAAGTTTTAAAAACTAAACACTAATGTGTTTGAAAAAATATGTTTAACACT